AGTCATCCATACTAGTAGTCGCCACCATGACTTCTCAGCCAAGCAGTAAGTGTTGTGATTACGGTAGTCCGATTATTCCCATGGCCCTAGAATACCCCCAAAAGTATTGTTCGTTGTAGTACCAATCTATTCCAATTAGTGCTTGTTCAGGTCGAATTCTACCAGACGTGCCTTGTCGAGTATGTCAGGATCACAGCTCCGGGAAGCACTACGGGATCTTCTCATGCGACGGATGTGCAGGTTTCTTCAAAGTGCGTTTCCGGAGTCTATTGTATGGAGAGGGCAATAACCTATAAAAACTGCCTCTGTTGAAATTTCAGCGATCGATCAGGCGACATCGACAGTACGTGTGCAAAAATAAGGGTGGTTGTGAAGAAGGCAGATGCATCGTGGATAAGACCCATAGGAATCAGTGCCGGTAGGTCTTTCCCATTTCCACGTTGGGAGAATGAAGCTGAAATCACCGTTTAGGGCATGTCGATTGCGAAAATGTCTCGAGATCGGTATGAACAAGGAGGCCGTCCAGCATGAACGGGGACCGAGGAATTCAAGTTTGAGACGGCAGAATCTGCTCCTTGAGCATCCACGACTGGCTCTATCGGTAAGCGAGCGAATAGATTTTAAATTATGAACCTCTGATTTTTTCTGCTAAGGGCCTTCTATATTTGTTCTCGGGGTTCATGTCAAGGAAAAGCCGCAATATTTCCCACAGTGAGTCACTCGTGGGTCCGCGTCATCTTGGAAATCTTTTGTTTTTGTTGCCTTCCTGTCTGCGATGCCTCATCCACCTCCATTCACACAATGTTTGGTTTTGCAGTTATCGGTCAGACTCTCTGAAATTCTTTTATATCAGGGCTGATAACTATTCACTCGGGGAGCGGCTTGGTAAAGCTCGATCTCGTTGTGCTCGGCTAGCTGTGGTTTTTCTAACATGCTCGCAATGGTCGCTGAATTGGGAGATCCACATTTTTCAATAAGTTGCTGTGTCAGCTCGAATTCGTTGAACTTTTACAATATGCCCAGAATTAGACCGGCCCGAAAACTGCGGATCCGTTCTCTGCTGTAATTTGGCCTGGCTAATTTCCATCTGCAAGTGATATGCTGTTTATTCTTCAGTCTTGTTCATACTAGAAACCGTTTCAGCTGAGGAAGACTGTTTTCTACGAAAAAGAGAAGCCAGAGGTAAACGGTTCGGCATCGATAGGGTACTACCGATTGAATGATCGCTTAACGACCGCTTGTGGGGCTTTGTGGTGGAATTT